GTTTATTAAATTAAGTAAATGCTTTAGAGCTGAATCTGAATCAACACATGTCAGTGTGATTAATCGAACCCCTAATTACCCTGTATAACGCTGTGCCGCATACAAGCATAATTAATACTCTGAAGAGTCTCCTTTAACCTTTAGACTAAACCTTCTGGCGATGCATCGTGGGACGATAGGCTGTAATTAACACACACCTCCTTCGTTAGGTCACCGTTTCATTGGCTGCTGCATAAAAACTAATTAATGAGACTAACTGCATAATGTGTGTGCCGTAACTGCTCACATTAAGAGTAGTTTCATTGTGAATAAACATCTCAAACTTGGATGAATGATACTGTTTTCCAATCTGTGCATAAGACTCCGCTCATTTTCAAATTAGTTTTTCCATTATATAAGCAAACATTATTGGGTCAATGACAAATAACAATGTCTTCTGATAATTTTTTAAAAATCCAGTTTAAAATGCATGTACCAAAATATAAACATTTTTATGCATGTTAGTTACATGCAATTTTGAAAAAGATTCATACTAATTCTAAAATAGATTTATTGTGTTTGATCTAATGGCTTTAAAATTGTCAAGTAGTACATACGTGAGCAGGGGGTTAGACATATACATGGAGTCAAGGACAGAAGCACCACTGGAACGTGTTTGTCACCTCAGCCGAGCACATAGTTTGCAGGGCAAGGGTCTTACCTCCGCCTCTGATGGCTTGGCAGTGGTCAGGAGCTTCTCCAGCTCTGTGAGCATGGAGTTCTCATGCTGCAATCTCAGCTTCTCCTGAAACTCCGCCATCCCTGCATTAGGACTGTTTCTATACAGATCTACACACATGCAAACACAGGGAAAGAAAACATTACTGACAACAACCTTAAATGTTGTGACGACATTGCAAATGTTCATTATTTTAATTCTTGAGACTATTCTGTTCCACCATGCTTTTTGGTAACTGGCACATAATTTAAATAATTCAGTTAGAATAGTTAGAATGTCTTTTAAACAAATCTCTTATGTTCACCAAGACTGTATTTATTTGACAAAAAATACAATAAAACAGTAATATTGTGAACTATTATTACTATTACTGTACTATAATAATTGAGCACCAATATTAGTTGATAATTAAGCAGCAAATCAGCATATTAGAATGATTTCTAAAGGATCATGTGACATAACTCAGCTTTGCACCACATGAATAAATTACATTTTAAAATATATTTAAATAGAAAATAGTTAACAATTAGATTTATTAAAATTTTACATTTAAAATAATATCACATTATGACTGGTTACTGTATTTTCGTTTAAACAAATGCTGCCTTGGTGAGCATAAGACTTCTTTCAAAAACAAAACAAACAAATAAATATTCCAAATGTTGACTGGTGTACTACAGTACTTTTTTCGTAAGGCTACATTCTAAAAAATGCTGGGTTGTTTCAACCCAACGTTAGGTCAAATATGGACTAACCCAGCTGTTGGGTTAAATTTTTCAATTAAATTTTTAACCCAAATGTTGGGTTAGTCCATATTTGACCCAAGGTTGGGTCAACCCAGCATTTTTTAGAGTGTATGAAGGAACCACTTACCAGCAACAAAAGACATGATAAAAAACTTCTGACAGCTCTCAAGACTTAAAAACCAGTATCAATCCTGAATTGAACTCAGCAGTCCAGAAAGGTCCGAATCACCAAGCTAATACTGTTGAACAGTTTCTTCTTTTGCACTAGTACAACTACAACTGCATCAATGTAGAGGAAGCAGTTAAAAAGATGCTTTGAGTACCTCAGAATGATAAAGAAAAGCTACTAAAACTTTAGCGTTCAAAACAGTACAACCGGCTCCCAGCATCCGAAACTTGTGTAGGCTACTACAGCCTCGGCTCTTTGAAGTCAGATGAGATTTCAGACAGATTCACAGACTGTCGTGTCATGTACAGGACACCCGATCAGGGCTTTGTAACGCACCGCTGAAGGAGATGCGCAGAGAGAGACAGAAAGCGCACGATTCTTTTAATAAAGTCCAGCACTGCCCACCCGTCACGTCACGGAAAAAGTAAATAAGTCCAGAAACGGCGAACAACGTTTGTAGACACTGTATGTATGTGGCAGGTGAATTAGGCTATTAGTCACTTCACATCGCTTTTGTCACGTATACAGCACCACATGGACGCTGCTGAGCAAGATGCGTTCTTTCATTCCGTCCTGAGCGTTGAACGCTCGCATAGAACGCGCTTTGAGTTCGTTTCTGGCATGGTGTCAGGGAACGTTCAGCTACAGTAGAACGCGTTATTGGGTCCATATGCTGCATTCGTGGGGATTTTGATTTAAAGGGGTCATATGATGCTTTTTTAAAGATCATTATTTTGTGTATTTGGTGTAACAGAATATGTTGACATGCTTTAATGTTCAAAAAACACAAGAACGCTTAGTTCAGTAGAACGCTCGTTTACTGACCCTTTGTGCGTGGGTTAAGTGAATTGTTAGTGAAAAGTTAAAACGATTTGTTAAAAACGTTTTACCGAAACAAAGTCTCTTAAAATTTGTGTCATTTTAATTGTGTCTGGTCATCTGTCAGTTTCCCATTCTGTTCAAAAGTTTTCATCCCCCGGCTTAATGCATTGTTTTTCCTTCTGGAGCATCAGTGAGCGTTTGAACCTTCTGCAATAGTTGCATATGAGTCCCTCAGTTGTCCTCAGTGTGAAAAGATGGATCTCAAAATCATACAGTCATTGTTGAAAAGGGTTCAAATACACAAAAATGCTGGAAAACCAAATAATTTGTGGGACCTGAAGGATTTTTCTGAAGAAAAGCAGGCAGTTTAACTGTTCAGGGACTCATGAACATCTATCACTAAAGAAAAAACACAGCTGTGGATCATTTTATGTGAAATATCTTATTCAGGTCAGTACTAAATAAACAATAACATGCATTTTGAATGATCCCTCTTATTTTGGTAAAATAATTAACACTTTGCAGATTCTGAAAGGGGGATGTAAACCTTTGACCTCAACTGTATATCCAATTGATTTACAGATCAATTATTAAATATATATTAAAGGGGGTAAAATTGGGATTGATGATAATCTTGTTTTGAATTTTTTTGTGTTCTCTCCTTGTGAACGCTACTGAATCAAATAACGTTACAGAATTGATTCTTCTTCGACGCGTTCAACGCAAACGGTTAAAAAAAACGCTGCAGGTTTTTTGTCTGCCGCTTTAAAAATGCTCAAGAATGGATTGATTGGTTGTCAACGTTTTAATCCTTAATTAGCTAGTTTTTTTTAAATATCGTCCCTCTGTGTTTAGTGTGGCATTTAGAACGAATTGTAAAACTTTATCGTTATTGTTTATTAAATATATGTGCATTGTATTGTAGGCGTTTTGCCGTTGTTTCAGAAAGACAGCAAGCCACTTGCCCCCAAAGCGTTACCCATCATGAATTGCTAGAATCTTTATTTTATTTTATTTTTTAAATAGGCTAGTTCCTCTGTGTTGTTTAGTTAAGATGTGGGCTCTACGCTTTCACATTTAGAACGAATTTTAAAACTATCTTCATCGTTATTGTCCTTGTTAGACGAATTATTTACCATTTATTAAATATTAGTGCATTTTATTGTATAGCTTTTGCCGTTGTTTTAGAAAAGACAGCAAGCCACTTGGCCCCAAGTGTTAGCCATTTTACTAATAAATGTTGTTTTAGCCGCTTTGCAATTCTTCTAGCTCTTTTGAACGCTTGTTTAAATGTCAAGTAAGACTGGACATTTGACTGATACAGCACACAGCTATTGCATGAGGGGGGAGTTAGCCTTTTCTGCCGAAACATTGACCTAACGTTAACTAGCTGCTTCTGTCAGACCAAAGTCACAGACATCCAGGATTATGTCATGAACTTTGCCATACAAGAAGAACTCCAAGGTCACCGACCCCTTGCAAGCAAACACAAGCGCACTGCCCACAGCTCGGGGTTTTGAGGGGTTGGGGAACTATACTCAAGCACATCTAGACAGCAGACAGGCTTGCTTGCTCATTTTTGACAAGCCATGCGAGGATACTCACGTCCAATGCAGCACACGCCGTTTCACAGGCGGAAGTGTCGCGTGAAATCGGTGTGTGGGTATGATGTTTGTTCACGGACCAATCAGAGCAGGGGGCGGTCTGGCTCGACCAATCAAATTCCAGCCAATTGCGTTCTATGTGTTTATGGCGTTCGACTGCGTAAGCATGTGAAACAGCGTCATCTCTTGGCTGTGGTTGTAAACTAATATATACTTTTTTTTTTTTTTTTGTATTATGACAACTTTTCTAAAAGAATGTAAGTTTATTTTTGCACTTTTAATAAAGCACATACACTTTATTTTAGTGTATGACAATTATGCAGGATTAGATGGAAGTTCCTCTTCCACCAAATAATAAAAATCATGCTTTAATAAATCGACAACAAACATTCATTTTCCACATGGCCTTTTATTGTTGTATGACAGATTATCGTTATTTTGGTCTGGACATCTATGTGCGTAACAGTTTTAATTAGAAATGTTCTTCTTCAGGTGTTGCCCCAGACACTTCAAGCAGAGGAAGTTACATTGCAAATGTTTCTTGTGAATAACACACACACGCATACGTTAAGAGACATGAATATCCACACACGCACACGGTCAGCTGTGAAACCTACAGGACTTTACAGTCGGGGATTTGGGGACTTTGAAGAGTCTAACGGCTGCCGCGCTGTTGTGGAGACATCAAGTCACGCTCCAAGGAAGGTGAGTGCCGTGTCTCTCTCCTCCACCAGCTCAGCGGCGGTGCCATCCATCTTACCGCGGGAGAAATCATTGATGGAGAGTCCGTCAACCACCTTCCAGGTCTTGTTCTGTCGGGGTGGAAAATATTAGTACTTACATAGAGACCTTATATTTCTAAACTACTTCCAAATGCTTCGATTTCTTTTTTGAAATTCAATTTCATTGTTTTTTTAGGTGTGACGAAGACAAACCTTGATCATAACAGGGAAGGAGTACATGAGGTCATCAGGAACTCCATAGGAATTACCAGTGGAGTAGATGCCCATAGACACCCACTCACCCTGTTAGAGACAGAAAAATAATTAGTTAGCATTAACCCTGTAAAGTATGGAAGAGGATTAGGGCCAAGCAATAATAAAAAAAATAAAACCATCTCGAGATTAAAGTCGTTAAATTTCGAGAATAAAGTCGTTATGTTTCGAGAAAAAACTCGTTAAATTACGAGAAAAAAGTCAAGATAAAATGTTGAGATTAAACTCATAAAATTTCGAGAATAAAGTCGTTGTGTTTCGAGAAAAAAGTCGAGATAAAATGTTGAGATTTTTCTCGAAATTGAATGAGTTTAATCTCAATTTTTTTCTCTACCTTTTTTCTCTAAATTTAACGACTTTTTTCTCGAAACAAAACGACTTTTTTCTCTAAATTTAACGAGTTTTTTCTCGTTATTTAATGAGTTTATTATCAACATTTTATCTCGACTTTTTTCTCGAAACACAACGACTTTATTCTCGAAATTTTATGAGTTTAATCTCAACATTTTATCTTGACTTTTTTTCTCGCAATTTAACAACTTTTTTTCTCGTAATTTAATGAGTTTAATCTCAACATTTTATCTTGACTTTTTTTCTCGCAATTTAACAACTTTTTTTCTCGTAATTTAATGAGTTTAATCTCAACATTTTATCTTGACTTTTTTTCTCGTAATTTAATGAGTTTAATCTCAACATTTTATCTTGACTTTTTTTCTCGTAATTTAATGAGTTTAATCTCAACATTTTATCTTGACTTTTTTTCTCGTAATTTAATGAGTTTAATCTCAACATTTTATCTTGACTTTTTTTCTCGTAATTTAATGAGTTTAATCTCAACATTTTATCTTGACTTTTTTTCTCGTAATTTAATGAGTTTAATCTCAACATTTTATCTTGACTTTTTTTCTCGTAATTTAATGAGTTTAATCTCAACATTTTATCTTGACTTTTTTTCTCGTAATTTAATGAGTTTAATCTCAACATTTTATCTTGACTTTTTTTCTCGCAATTTAACAACTTTTTTTCTCGTAATTTAATGAGTTTAATCTCAACATTTTATCTTGACTTTTTTTCTCGCAATTTAACAACTTTTTTTCTCGTAATTTAATGAGTTTAATCTCAACATTTTATCTTGACTTTTTTTCTCGCAATTTAACAACTTTTTTTCTCGTAATTTAATGAGTTTAATCTCAACATTTTATCTTGACTTTTTTTCTCGCAATTTAACAACTTTTTTTCTCGTAATTTAATGAGTTTAATCTCAACATTTTATCTTGACTTTTTTTCTCGCAATTTAACAACTTTTTTTCTCGTAATTTAATGAGTTTA